TCTCACCACACTATATGAGGACCACTCCCCCTTCGAATCACACTGAAAACAACATAAACCCTAGCACACTACAGTCTGAAATCCCACCATATGATCTGAAACATACTTCTTATTTGATTCATAACAAAAAAAAGGCATAGAAATCTCTTACCTCATCACCCGAAATTCAAACTACACAAGACACCCACTGCACCACACAAACCAGTCATTTTCTCTTCATCGATTAGGGGAGGGCTTCTTAGAAACCACAGCAACCAACCACGAACAGCACAACTGGAGGCATAGTGACCTCCAAGGGAAGAGGGCAACCACTCCTTTTCAGCCATTTCCCTTATCTCCAACCGATGGCAAAGAAACCAAGAGAAAACCCTAGACTGGGTGCACAGAAAACAGAAATTTAGGCAGATCCGAATTGGTTAGTTGAGCTCTGATACCATATTATGATTCGGCCTGCCCTTGAGTTCTATTAGCCTGATAACAGCCAAGAAGAGAGAAGAAGAAAGAAGAAAGAGAAAGAGAGAGAGAGAGAGAGAGAGAGAGAGAAAGGAGGAGAAAAGGAGAGAAGAAAAGTCTGGTTCGAATGAGAGAAAAGTTACCTCTCCCATTCGGCCAGATATGTTTTATATTACTAACATAATGGAAAAGATACATGTGCCCCTACTTAAGTGAGGGACACTAGTTCTAACATAATATTACACATCAGCAACCTCAACATAAGTATAAAGACAGAAATACCCCTACATACTCGACACTAACACTAATGATACAATTCTGTTTTGTGATGGTGGTGATCCTAGATAGATGGAAAACATGGAGATGATTTATCTATTTTTTAGAGAATGTTGAATCTAAAATAATAGTTGTCGTTCTTGACAAGCTCATCTCTAGGGCTGATGCTAGAAATCTCTGATAAAGGGTTAGAGAGTAGGCAGAGAGGAGATTCCTATCACTCACCTGTAGTTTTCTAATGATACAATTCTGTTCTATGATGGTGGTGATCCTAGATGGGTGCAAAACATGAAGATGATTGTATCTATTTTTAAGAGAAATGTCGAATCTAAAAATCAATTGGAAGAATCGTATTGTGTGGCTGAATATGGAGAATAGAGGAATTTTAGATGCGACAGAGATCTTGGGATGTACGGATTCTCAATGGCCAATGAATTTATTTGGGGATGCCTTTGGGGGATTATCCTAGAGGTAGCAACTTTTGGAATCTGGTAATAGAGAGGTTTACTAAAAAGTTGGGCTTCCTGGGAAAAAAATTTATTTATCTTTGGGAGGGACGATCACCCTTATTAGGTCTACTCTAGCCAACTTACCAGTTTATTTTTTGTCAATGTTTAGAATTCCAATTCCATAAAAGGTTAGCAAGGGGCTAGAAAAGATGATGAGGAATTTTTCATGTGAACTAGGGGAAACGAATGTTTGTTTGCTTGCTAAGTGGCTCTGGAGGTTGCAATTGATAGAGATAAGTTGTTGGCAAAAGTAATCATTAGTATTCATGGGCTTGCGGCTGATGGTTGGGACACTGTAGTGCTGATTAGGGCAACAAGAGCTGCACTATGGAAGGTCATTCATGCTATTTTGCCTTCTTTTATGCCTCATATCAAGTATAGCCCTTGTTTTGGTGATGAGGATCAAATTAAGAGATATCAAAAGAGAACCAAAGCTGCTCCTATGCTTCTTTGGCATCACTATGATGATGTGGGGCCCACATGGGAGCTGGATTTGCAGTGGATCAACTTGGGAAGACCCTAGAGTCTTCAATCCACCTTAAGATGCTCTTTGTGTGGTTGAGTTTTCAGTTGGACAGGACTTATTTTTGTAATTTTGCATGTTTAGGAGTTATATTTGGAGACAAGTCTTAGTCTAGTAATTACTCTTTGTTTGGATTTATGTTTGTAATTGTTTGGGGCAGGTTTAGTCTAATCTAGCTTCTTTTTGTAAGTGGCTTGTTGTGCAAGCTTGTAAGGCTCTTTTGAAGAACAGTTTTGGTTAATGAACAATAAAGTTTCTCTACAGAATTTGGTGTGATTGCCTAGGATTTTCATCTTATTTCCACAAATTTTTTTTATCAATAACTGGAACTTTTCATTAAATTGTAAATTAATTAAATAAGTACAACAAAAAATATGTTGTGAGAAATAAACCCTCTTATCTCTCCCCAAATACATTACCAATTACCCCCCCCCCCCCGCTCTAGCAAGAGTATCAGCAAAGGAGTTGACACTTTCTTTTACTCATTGTACTCTCACCTCCATGTTCTGCATCAAACATTTAAATGCCTTCCTCTCATTATTATAGATCCACAAGCTTGCCTCTTCAAATGACTTCAATCAAATTGAATGATCATTACTGTGATGGGCCAAGTTCGTAGAGATTTTCCTAACAGCAAAGGGAAAACTTCAATATCTTATTGATCCTAGGCTGTTGGTTGATTCTAGTAGATTCACTTAGTGGGTCTAAGAAAATGCTTAGATTAAGACATGGCTATGGAACAGCATGGACCCTAAAATCAGCATCAATCTTATATTTTTGGATACTGCAAAAGAAACTTGGGAGTATCAGTAACAGTAATATCATGGGCATAACAATGTTAGTAGGGTATATCCCAGGATTACTTTTCACTTCAGCACAGTGACAAGATTAAGGCATTCACTTGGGAGGTATATTATATGAAAATCAATACCTACGATGCTTTTCTAAAAAGAACTTATTGGTGCTTATCCCCACACACTTGTTCTCTTTGTATGGCAAGTGGAGAGACTGCTTATCATTTGCTAATCTCCTATCCATTTGTCACTAGTATTTGGGATTGGGTTTTCTCTCTCTTTAGTTGCAGGTGGAGCTCCCACCCCACCCCTACCCTTCCTGATGGAACGGGATTTTTTGTTCGAAGAACAGAGTTTGGGGCGGGAACTGATTTTAGGATTTTACAACCCATATAGTGTAGTAGGGTATGGAACTTGACCAACACATTGAATTTACTAAAATACCCATTAGACTATTGTTGTAAGGTATATAAACTTATGTATTTATGTCTTGAATTTGATAATGCTTTGAATCTTATGTGAAGGATAATTAAGAATCCATGTTTCAATCAAATAATTGGAAATTTTGATGTTTGTTCAGGTTATTTTGCTTGTTTATAGCATATATGTAACAGGAAATTAGATTATTTTGCTTGTTCAGGTTATTTTGCAGGTTTTGGACCCAACCTACCAACCCGACCTGCCCCACCCTCAAATGCGAGGAGGGTAGGGTCAAGGAGCGTTTTGCATTGTGTGCGGGAAACCCGCTGCAGGTCTTGGGTAGGGTATGGGTTGGGAGGTTTGAGGAGGTGGGAAGGTGATGCAGTAGGGCTGGAAAAAACCATCACAAGAGAGAGAGAGAGAGAGAGAGAGAGAGAGAAAGAGGAGAAAGGGTAGAGAAAGAGAAAAGAGAGAAATCCCAAGGAATCACTCCAAGGGTCCTAGAATCACTCTAGGGTTTGTAAGAATCACTCCGTATAACAAACTTGCAAGAGACCTCTAAAGAAATCTTCATTCATTCACAAGTTAAGAAGTGGACTAATAGTAATTAATTAATGCTGATAAAAAAAATCTTCATTCATTCATTTCTTCAAAAGGAAAAGAATACATCTATTTATAGAGTGACTTGTGTGGCCCGGAATACTGTTCATCATATTTACAAAAAAACCACTCCTTGTCTTGTGCATCAAGAAACATAATAACTTTCTACCTATTAATGCAAATAAACTAAAAATTGAAAGAGAAACACTACTAAGCTAGAGAAACAAAATGCTATAGCCCAAGCCCACATGGGACTGGTTAAAATGACGAAAATACCCATACTGTCCAAATATACAGAAATACAGAAACTTTTAGAAAATTCCAAATTTGATTCTTCAGCTCCTACATTAGGACGATCTAGAATTTACAAAACTCTCTGTGAACCCACCCTGTTGCCATCCCTATCCCCTGGTCAAATGTTGAAAGCCTATATCAAACTGCATGGTTCAACCCACCTCTGAAGAGAGGGAACATGATGTGGAGGGTGGCATGTTGGGTAAAGACATTGGATATGTATACTCACTTTTTAATGGATGACATCATTAGAGGATGGAAGCAGGTAGCTTCCTCATCTACATCTAGTGGATGACATCACTAGAGAAGGGTAACCTTGTGTCACCCACCTGGATAAAAAAGAAAAAAAAAACAAATAAAGCTGAATTTTGATGAATGTATCTTGGGTAATCCAAGCTCTTAAGGAATTAAGGAAGTTTCCAGGGATGAATATGTAACCATTCTAGCAATGTTTTCTAGTCCTATAGTGCTACAACCTCCGTTACAGCTGAACTAACTGCAACATTACAAGGTTTGAGACTGGCAAAGAACACTAAACTGCACCAACATGCACGTGGAAGGTGATTCAAGAGTCGTGGTGAGATGGCTAAGAAACAAAGGACAAGAACACTGGTAGTATCAGCAGATTCTAAAAGGAAATCAAGAGCCTAACCAGGGGGGAGAACTTTAACTTCACTTGGGTATGAAGGTCAGCCAATGGTTTGGCTGATACTTTAGCTAAACACGGAGTATAAAGGGAGCAATTATTTTGGGGACTTGTAAATGCTGAATGGTTGTAACAACCAAGGATCATGTGTAGATTAGCTTTGGCATACTTGTAGCTGGGCACATTGTAAATACAGATTCTTTTATTAATTTTAATAAAATTCCTAAGTTATCCATATAAAAAAAAACACAACCAAGCATTTTCAAATAAATCCAATGATATACACTATAATAGTCAATTACTCACACAAATATTATATATGGAAATACATTACCAATGAGAAACAATAATTAGATGGGAAGAGAGAAGGCGAAGCAAAGGGGAAAAAAGAAAGGAGGAAGGGTGACAAAAGCAGAAACCCTGCAAACATTTGAGAGGAAAGAAATGCTAGAATTTTCAAGGAAAAAGAAAGATCCATGGAGGCAGTCATTGAATACATTACTATTAGGTTAGTGCATTGGCTAGAGTCCTTAGATCTCTTCCAACCTTACTCAGCTGAGGATATTGTCAGGAAATGGAAAGTAGTGGCAAGTACAAAACAAAAGAAAGATAAGTTTCATAGAATGTGAGCACCACCAGAGGAAGAATTTATAAAGTTGAACTTTGACAGTAGCATGTAGAACCTGGGACCTTCAGGGATGAGGGAGGTTTTAGGGATAAGAAAGGTAATATAATAGCCTTGTTGTCTAGGTCAATAGGGGAAGGTGGTTTACTAAGAGCTGAAATTATAGCAATGATTCAAGAAATACAAAAGGCAAAGGAAATGAATATTAAGAAGCTTGTAGTTGAAGATGATTCTAAGGTGTGGTGGGATGACTGCAGAAAGAGGAAGCTATGTAAATCTATAGGAATGAATTAAAAAAGTTCAAATGGCTAAAGGCAGGGATGCAGGTGAAGGTGCAATGAATGGACACAACAAATGGTTAACTCTATAGCTCATGCTTTAGCAAGACTAGTGGCTAGAAATCAATTATTTTGGGCTGAATTGTAATGATTTTTCATGGGTATAGAAATCCTTTGTTTCTCTTAAATGATGCAATCACATTGTATATATTCTGTTTATAATGATTTAATAATAAATTGAAGTCATTATCAAAATGGTAAACTAAGAATTACATAAGAATTCTAAGCAAAAAGTTTTTACCAACCTCATCTTCTTTTGGTGCATTTATTCTCACATTCAAACAGCGAGAACGAACTGCTTCTGTAACTTTTGAGGAACTATTGCAGCATAGAATTAACCGACACGATGCACTATATTTCTCCATTGTTCTCCGAAGTGAGTGTTGTGCTTCTCTTGAGAGCTTGTCAACCTCATTTAGCACTAGGACTGTCATTACATCAAAACAAAACACACCCACACAACATTTCATCCACCAACAAGTTTTTAAGTAAATTTGTATAATTAAACAAGAACCTTTTCACACTTGATACTCAACAGAAAAATTGGCTTCAGTTAATATGATGGAATGAATGTAAGTTACATCTCTGATGTGTGCAGCAGAGGAACATGCACTGCTGACAATAACAATATAATAATAATAAAGAAGGAAAAAAGAAAAAAAAAACACAGTATAGAAAAAAGAAACAGCAGAAATTGTTAGATGTATATCTACCGTCAAGTTTCAACTTTTAAAAACAGGTATTGATATTACTGTTATACTTTATGAATTTGGAGTGGCAAAATGGAAACTAAATCTGCAACCTAAAAATAAATTTCTAAAGCTATCCATTATTTCCTACTTCTGTTCCCAATACAACTAAAATCCTCCTTTACTCCCCAAATTTTGAGAACTCCAATAAGAAATGAACCTCTTCAGGACCAAGTCAAGATTGGTTTTGGTTGACAAGCCCTTAGTACAGGTACAAACCATTAACCAGGTTACCACCCTAACCAGGCTGCAACTTGGCAGGCCCAAGCCAAGCCCAATTTGACCACACTCAAGCTTTTACACAGGCTGGGTTTAGATTCTAGGACTCTGATTTGGGCCTGATCTCAAAAACAAGGACTTGACTAAACTAAGCTTGAGCTTAAGTTGAGGGCTTGGTGGCCCAAACTTAAACTGAACCTGTTCCAACACAAGCCCATCCAACCTTCTATAATAATATAATATATTATAATATATTTAACTATTGTATATGAAAAATTGTATATTTGTGTATAAGATGTGTACTACATATTTACATTATACGTACACTCAAGGGTATTATTTACAATGTGTATATGATTAAACAGGGCCAAAATCATACAAGCAGGACAGGTTGTGGCACAAGGTTATAGTTAGCATTCATGGAATGAAGGTCAATGGCTGGGACATCGATCTGTATGTTAGAATCACTTTGGCTTCCCCTTGGAAATACAAACTAATGAATCATGGCTTTATGTATTGGAATCACAATTTACTGCATTCCTAAATCACATGGTTAGGATTGATTTCAAACTACAGTAACTATAGCCTTATATAAAAGTGACATTTGGTTAATCTCACTTTCCTAATTGATGCAGATTAGTCCACTTTTTCATACCTCTCATATGTATGCCTTGATAGCCTTCTGTTATTTTTTCCTCTTCCCACAATAAATGCACCTATGCCCATGTCACTCTCTCAAAGCAGCCTAAGGTCCCCGTACTAAACTAAGTCTGTATATTATATATTAACTAAAATTGCATGCAAGTTTTGCTATCAGACCCAGTGGGGTTGCCAAGGTTTTAAACATCCACTGAAACTTAAGTAATTCCACCAACATGCTTCCTTTCCCATGGCAATCAAAGCAAATATTACCCACACATCATTTAGGTTAAACTTCCACAACTTTCAGTCAAATTTTCAGTAATTTTATAGTTCTGATCAAAATACTACACCCATTGCATAAAAATGATTTTCGCCAAAGTATGAAATAATGCCAATTAAGGTTTAGGGGATGCTCCCCAACATAAATTGTTTCCTTTGTTGTGATTTCAATTTTCAAGAGAACTGAGCCCCATGGAGAAAACATAACTTAGAAACAATACCACAGAAAACATCGTTTCGATTGTAGTGTTCTTCTGTCTTTCAAAATGAAACCACAAACATCTTGAACTTCTGGTTTCAAAAGTATGTTTTCCTATGGTAGTCTGATATTATGTTTCATGAAGTATACACTATTTGGATAAAAAAAATATCAAATAGGTGTAATCCATAGGAGCTTTAAAGCAACAGTTGTATGATAGTCTATATGAATTATCAATTTATGTGCAAAACACCAAATAGTAGCCAAGGTCAGCCTTTTTCTTTTTTGAAATCTTTTTGTTGGCTTCAGAAACAGGGGTATTTTCCTGAATCAAACTGTTTTTAGGTCTTTTATGGATATCAAACTGAAAATATTTTCAGTTGACTTCGTATATCAACCAACTGTTTGGCCGATGCCATGGCCTGACAAAGGATAAATATTTGAAAACCAATCAATGAACACAAAAATATTTGAAAACCTGATGCAAACTAACCAAAGAATTTAAGAAAAAGTTGGTTACCTTTGTACCCTTTCTTTCCTTTTGTGTCAATTGGCCTATTTTTTGCCATTTCCTTGATTATCTCTTGAACAATATATCTATCCTGGAAACCTGCATCACTGGGATTCAGTTCCACGTGGTGGGTGCTTGATAACATGGTCAATTCCAGATCAATAGTTCTACTCCCAGCCTGCAATTAAAAAAAAATTCGTCAAAAAGTAACTCCATTTTTTTCTTTTTTTCGTTTATGGACAAGGTAGAGAAAAGAACTACATTCTACTGAAATGAAGAGAATTACAATATACTTGAGAAGATGCAACATAGGTTATAAAGAACCATTTGAATGTATGTCACCTTGCTCAAACAATGCAATTTTGGTGCTATTAACTGCAAGCTATCATATAAAAAATAAGTTTAAAGAAATAAACGTTCATAGGCTTTCTCAAATTTAAGTGAAATCTTCTGTGATATCTGAATGCTTTCCTGGATTCTCATGAAAAAATTGAGTGATTTCAGAAAGTCTCTCATTTTACTAGTCTTAGATTGCAATGTATACTGACTCTACCCACTCACATTATTCAATGAAAATCTTAAAGGTTGTCAACCAAATGACAAAACTCAATAAGTCTTTCTCCTTAAAACCAGGGGGGAAAGTGAAGTAGTGGCTTACATTGATTTTCCATGTCTTGTTTTCTAATTTCACCTGCAATCAATCAATATTACCAACATCAATCAACAAGAAAAGAACTAGACTGGGTTATCATACAACACCCGAAACTCTATGAGGAAAAAGAAGGATAGTTACCTTCTCGGCACCAGCGCCAAACATCTGTCTAAGAACGGCCATGATTAGGGTTTTCTTGCCGGAACCTGAAGGCCCGTAGAACAGCAGGTGAGGGCAGTCCTGCTCTGTGACCTATTAACGAAAATTAAGCAGAGAAAAGCAGTAGAATGAGGGGAAAAATCGCAGCAGAAGAATGTCAAAGAAGAAGAAGAATAAGAAAGACCAAAAAGAGAATAAAAAAAATACCAGTTTCTTGAGATTCTTGGCAACCTCTTCGTGAACTAGCATCTTGTCGAGGGATTTCGGCCTGTATTTGTCTACCCACAACATTTTCAAAGCTTAACAGACTCGTCGGGGCTTTGACTGTTGAGAGACAAAAAGGGAGGGGTTCTGGAGGAAAGACAGTAGAAAGAGTAGAGAAGGCAAAAAATGGCGGGAAGAGAGGTAGAAGTTGCAGTCCTGGAGGTGGTGTTATATAAAGAATGTGTGAGAACTGTGGAACACCCGGTTCTTCGTGATCCGGACCGGGAATCGCCTGATCCGGGTCGAACCGGACAAAAAAACTGTCTGGATCAACCGAGGGTTATTTTTATCCGGGTTGCATCGGTCAAAACCGACATGGCGACATCACTTTGGCTGTTTGGAAAAAACGTCATGGGCAGTTTTGGGAGCCTCTACTCTACACATCACATTTAACTAATTCAGGTCCTCGTTTGTCTTTTCACTAAAAAGTATGGATCGAGTGTAAATACTATTTTACCTATACTCGTTATGAGATCGAGATGTCATTCATAATAGGCTCCCAAAACAGTCCATACTGTTTTTACAACAACCAAGTTTTTCTGTCAAAACCTGTTAGTGTTTAAGGGTGCAACATGTGCAGATCCAACCCGAGTCGACCCGATCTAACATGAGTTTTTGCACAGGTTGGGTCTAAGTTTTCAAGCTATCGACTGGGCCCGCCCAAAAGAAATATATACATGTATTTTATTTATATAAAAACGACTTTTTTCTAATTATATATATATATATATATACATATGTATATGTATGTACATGTACATGTATGTTTATAAATAATATTTTAAAAACCGACCTAAAAATGGAACCTCATTGGCCATCAGTTTTTGGGTCAGTAGTTTAACCACCCAAGTCCAATGGTTCAAACATTTCAATAGTTAAAGCATATGTATATCTCATTGGGCGGGTTAAGGCTCCTCCACCCCCTGAACCAGTCAAAACCCCGACACACCCTCTATAGGGGTGTCTCGGGGTGCTCCCGATACGATACGTATCAGCCAATATAGGCCAATACGTGTCAATACTTTCAACCTTGCCTACAATGGCAAAGGTGACAGTGACCTACAGAGGTGATGGCAACGGCAACAATGACAATGGATCTAAGGTCTTTCTCTCTCTCTCTCTCTCTCTCACACACACACATCTCAAATTGATTTCTTTTCCCTCTCTTTTCCTCTCTTTTTTTGTCATTTATTTTATTTTTTTAAAAATTTTAAATAGGCTTTATTAAACTGCAAACTATTGTTTGGGTTGAATGGTTCAAGGCTCAAATTGCCCAAGTCAATAGTTCACTAACCAATTCAATGTTTTTTGCCAAAAATGATGGTTTAGCACTAAAACGGAAAATGGTACTCGAGCTAGTTTGCAAGCCGAAATGTCTGACCGTTTGAGTCAATGAAAACCATGTTTGTAAATGAAAGTTGTACATATTTTCAATTAATTATACTTTTAAATTGGGTCATAAAACCCAATAAAAGATGAATATGTAAAATTATATACATAAATCTTTTCAAACCCAGCCAACCCACCCAAGCCCGACTAACTCAACCAGCCCGAGTTGTGGTGGGTTAAGCTCAAGTTGGGCCTAGATTGATAAACTTAGGCTTAACCTCAGGTTGGGCCAAGCCCGAGCCTAAGGTTTGCACTTTTAGGGTTGGGCCTAGATTAACCTTCGACCCCACCAACGGGCCAAGTTGCACCCCTAAACCTATCTAGATTGATCCACTCAAAAATCAGCTTCTCCAGTTCGAGTAGCCTAATTGCTAAAGATGTAAATAATGGCCCTTGACTTAGTGGTGTGGCTCCACCTTAAATTGGATGAAGTGACGTAAGATGGGGTCACAACTTTTTTTTATTTATTTTTTGAAGGGGAAGCCCATCCCCCATCTCAGATGCAGGCGAGATTTGATCCCAAGTCTCTACTACGACTAGCAGGAGACTTTACCAATCTGCCGGTTGGCAAGGTGGGATAGATTTTCCCATGATGAAAAATAGTCATATATGTATTGGATTAAGCATTGGAAATCAAGATATGACAGGTTTTTCAGCTCTAACACCCCTTGAATTTTGTGGAAGAACTTTAGACCCTAAAGAATTTTAAGAGTCATTTTTCTCCCTCAAACTGTTTCGGAAAGGCCACCATAAAGCAAAAATGGACAACATTAAAAACGTCATTGACAAATCCTTTAAACAATGGATAAAATAATAATAAAAAAAGCATCTTATGTGACACTAAATATCATTAACCTTAGAAGTAACTTACTTCAAGGATTTTTTTAAATTAGAGTCATTAAATTATCAATAATTAATTTAACAATAAATAATTAACAATAATTAAGGGTAAATTATAACTTAAACACTAACTTAATTAGCTTAACTAATACTAACTAACAATCACTTAATTTACTTAAATAACTTAGTAACTCAATTTGCTTAATTAAATTTATTTACTTAATTTCTTTAATTACTTTATTTACTTAACTAGTAGTGGCTTAATTTACTTATTTACCTTAATTAAGTTTGTTTGTTTAATTAGCTTAATTTACTTAATTTATATAGTTAATTAATTCACTTCATTACATGGTTCTAAAATCATCATTGACGTAGGCAGTCAAACCATTCGAAATAGGAACTAGTCAATTGTTTGATACAGTTTTATACTTGATATAGAATTTTCCAAAAACAAAAATGTTTACTTGGTTAGCAAACAAACTGCTGACCTAGACAATTGAAACACTAAATTCCTGATGAATGGCTTTTGAGTTTTTTTTATTATTTTATATTTTTTATTTTCAAAATGTCACGGGCTGATCTGTTTGGACTAGATTGATTGAACCATTAACCTAAAAATCGGTGGTCAAATCGGTTCCATTTTTTAGTTAGTTTTTAAAACCTTGCTTAATTGGCTTAATTTACTTATTTAGATTAATTAGCTTTGTTTATCTAATTTACTTAACTAACTTAGTATCATTAATTAATTTAATTTACTTATTCAGTTGCTTAATTTACATAATTGGCTTAAGTAAGGCCATCATCTTTTGTGTAAGCGGTTTGATCATCCAATCCAAATAGACCAGGCCATGATGTTTTAAAATGTAAAATGAAAAATAATTAAATAGAGCCCCCAAAACCATTCATTTGGAGTTTAGCAATTCGATTGTCCAATCCAAATGGATTATCCCATGGCATTTTAAAGAATAAAAATAAAAAAAACCTAAAAAACCATTCACCAGGTGTTTAGTAGGTCAACCATTTGGGCCAGTGGTTTGCTAACCAAGTCAAACAGTTAACCGGTTCTTGGGTCGAACGGTTTGATCACTAGAGTCAACGACAAATTTTAAACCATGTAATTAAGTGAATTAACTAATTGACTAAGTAAATTAAGCTAAGTAAATTGAGTAACTAATTAATCAAAACTAGTTAAGGTAAATAAGTAAATTAGGTTGTTGTTAATTAAGTAAATAAAGTAAGTAAACAAATTAAATGAATTAATGTAATTAAGCAAATTGAATTACTAAGTTAATTCAGTAAATTAAGTGATTGTTAGTTTTCTATTAGTTAAGCTAATTAACTTAGTTTTTTAAGTAATAATGTGCCCTTAATTGTTGTTAATTATTTACTATTAAATTAATTATTATTAAACTTTAGGGTCCAAAGTGATCTTTTAAAACATGAGCAATGTCACATAAGCATGCTTTTATTATTTTATTCATTGTCTAATGGATCTTCTAACAACATCTCTAACATCACTTGTTTTTGCCTTAGGATGGCCTTTCTGAAATGGTCCAAGGGTGAAAACGGCCCTTACAATTCTTCAAGGTCTAAAGTTTTTTTTTTACCAAGTTCAAGGGTTGTTAGAGTCGAAAATGCTTAGGCTAAAGGTATGTTGCATTGAGAAGAATCTCAACTTGAAAGTTGCCTTGGATCTTTGTGTTGATTATTCCCCCATCCTTTAGGCTAAAGGTATGTTCCGTGATTCAGTTTGGGTTACTAAACCCTTAGTGTGTTTGTCGCTGGTTTTTCAAGTTTCCATCTAAATGTTGTACTGAGAGTCTGTGAAGATGGGGGTGGGGAACACAATGGAAACTAGATGGATCCTTAAATTGATAATTTGGAGGAAGGAACATAGAGGAAATGATATGGAGTTGGTTGAAATTATGTTTGAAGAATTGAAAATTAGAGTTAGAAGGAGAGGTTCTAGAATTTCATCCTAATGAAGAGACAAAAAAAGAGGATGGAAGTAATGATTTGCAAGCTATTGAAATAGAGAATGGGGAAGAGGTAGAAAGACGGAACAATAGTGATCCTTTTAGCCCTAACAAGCATTTAACTGAATTTGTGGATAAAATGGGTTGCAAGATGGGCCAACCTAAGAAGCTAGAGATGTACAAGAGGAAGATTAGGGGGAGGGTAAAAAAAAAAAAAAACTTAGTGAGGTTGAAAGATTGAAAATAAGCATTGAAGGTGACAAGGAGTTCAGCAAGAGAAGGGATACAAATAAAGGTGCTCGTATTAGTGGGTTATATATAAGCAATTAAAGTTATGATAATAAGTTGGAATGTGAGGGATTTGGGTAGTGCTAGAACAAGAGCTTTAATAAAGGAAAGTTTTAGGAAGGAGGATCTAGACATAGTGATTATTCAAGAATCCAACCTTTTAGATTTCAATGTCAGGTGGGCCAGAAGCATGTGGAGGGCTAGAAATGTCTGTTGGGCTTGATATTCTTCTTGGGATGCCTCATGGGGTTTAATAACTCTTTAGAGAAATGATAGGGTGGAAGGAATTGAGAAGTTAATAGGAAAATTCACATTATTTGTCAAGTTTAGGTCTCTTGAAGATGGATTTGAGTGGGTTTTAATAAATACTCGTGGATCAAATAGATATAGAGAAAGAAACGAGTTTTATGATGGATTAAGTGACATAAGAGGTTTGTGGGAGGGCGTGTGGTGTTTAAGAGGGGATTTCAATGTCATCAGATTTACTGAGGAATCCAATGATCCAAGACAGAAAATCACCTTGAGTATGGGGAAATTTAACAAGATAATTCATACTTTTGAGCTAAAAGAACTTCCTCTTTCACATTAGAGATTCACTTAGTCTAATTTGCAAGCCAAACTTGTGTGCTATAAAACTGGATAGATTCTTTTTTTTTTTTTTTTTTTTTTTTTTTGTGGATTGGGAGAGTGCATTAGAGTGAAATAGTCATGAAAGGTTTACCAAGAATGACCTTTGACCATCTCACTGATTTCCATTTCAACTGAAGAGTTGAGAGGTTTGGGATCCTTAACATTTAGGTTTGAAAACATGTAGTTGTCCTACCCACTTTTATTCATAAAAATCAAAGATTGGTCAATTGGATGCCCTTTGAGGGGCAATTAGAAGGGCTTGAGTTTTACTAGGATATTGAATTTACTGAAAGAGAAAAATCAAAGAGTGGAATATTGAACAGTTTGGGAGATTAGATATTAGAAAGGTAGGAGGTCATTGACAAGACTAAAGAGCTATATCTCAAGGAAAGTCAAGGTATCGTTAGGGAAAGTGATAAATTGGAAAGGAGATCATTGAGAACGTAGTTGGAATACATTTTAATTAATGAAGAGATTACTTGGAGACAAAAATCAAGGCATAATTATATTAAAGAATGTGATGGAAATACTAAATTTTTTCATGCCTTGGCTTGTGAAAGGAAAATGAAGAATTTTATTTTAAAATTGGAAGTCAATGGTGTTGACTCTCACTTAACAAAATGAAATATCGCAAGCTTTTGCCCAACATTTTGAATCTATTTTCAAAAGACAAGTTGGTGATAGGATTTGACTAAAAGGGTTAAACGAAACTAAATTGATAAAGGATCTAAAAGTTTGGTTGGAGAGAAAATTTGATTTCGAAGAAATTAGGGATGCGTCTGTTTCCATGGATGGATGCAAAGCACCAGGGCTTGATGGATTTACTTTGGCTTTTTATCATTACTATTGAAACATTCTGAAAGATAACCTTTTGGAAGTTTTTAATGAATTTTTTGAGAGAAGTGTAATCAATCTAGGATTAAATGCTACATTCTTAGCTTGATTCCCAAAAATGTTGAAGCCCCTTCACCCTAGAGATTTTAGACCTATTAGTCTGGTTCACAACTTATACAAGATCATTGTTAAAGTGCTTCTATTTGAGGATTGAAAAAGTTTTTCCACATTTAATATCTCGTAATGAAAGGGATTTTGTGCAAAATAGACAAATCATTGAACAAATTTTAGTTGTAAATGAATATATGAACGAAATGAAAAGGAAGATTAAGAAGGGTAATTTAGTGGATTGGTAATTTTTGTTAGAGGTTATGAGTATTTGTCGTTTCGGGGACAAAGGGCGCAAGTGGGTGGTTGGATGTTTATCAACTTGTCATTATTCAATTCTAATCAATGGAAGAGTGGTGGATTTGTTTTACCCCTTTATAGGAACCCTTTGTCATCATTTTTGTTCACACTCATTATTAAAGCTTGAAGTATAATAGTTACTAGGATTGATTCGATAAATCTAGTAAGAGGTTGAAGAATAGGTAAAGAAAAAGTTCCAGTTACTCATGCACAATTCATAGATGACATAATTCTTTTTTGTGAAGGGGATGTTATAAACTTGGCTAGAAATCTGAAAATTGTAGTTCAACTCTTCAAATGTGTGTCAAATCTTAAGGTCAATTTTGACAACATTTGCATTGGAGGAATTAGTCTAGCTGAAAGGGAGTTGGAGGAGTTCGCAATTGTGATGGGGTGTGAGATAGCATAGTGGCCAATTAAATATTTTGGTCTCCCTCTTGGTCATAACCCTAGTTGTGCCAACTTTTGGGACCTAGTGGTGGTCCTCTGGTTCGTTATTTTGTCTTATCCACTCATGTATACTTCTCTCCTCGCATCATCTGCCATTTTTGAAAGACACTTTCTTCAAAATCTTTGTCTATGGTTCTTTTTTTAATTTGGATTCCTATGGCTCAAAACCCAATTGGTAAGTTCAAGTATAGGGTTTCATGCTTATTTTCTTCATCAACACAATACAATGCAAATATGCGAACACCCAAGTCTAGGGTTTCATACAGAAGAGAATTGAATTGACCTAACCAAGTGCGCCCTGTCGCAACATATATGACATGCCAAAAATGAAAATCGGGTTTTGCCATTTCAGATTCTTAAATCTTAACCCAAGGCACCCCAAAATATTTCATAAGCTACATTATATCCTTGTAGTCCATAAACAGGACCTTTATGAGTTTTATCCTTTTTTTTTCCTGTTTTTTCAACTCTAGGACAAGGAAGATCATAAACATTTCAATTTTGGTTTGGAACCAACAATTTTAATAAGGTCAATAAATAGTATCCCAAGTCGTACAGGATTTTCTATGAACACAAATGTGACAACCTGGTAATCAATCACGAATGAACACACCACTGTTCTGTACATAGGGTGCAGGTTTACACACTTGTGTTCGCACTAAATCCGGATTCCTTCCAAACCCTGTGGGCGTCACTAGTTAGTATCTAGTCTATAAATTACATATTCATTTTGAGAGTCAGCTAATACCAAGACACCATTAGTACTAGTTATGTTGAGTAATTCCGCAACCATTCAAGGTAAAATAATTCATTGAAAAAAGACAAAAAAAAAACAATGAATACAAAAGTAACTCAGTAAATTCGCAAAGTGAAATGATTACAACCACTCTAGAAATAATTAAGAAATTAATGAATAAGAAAGATTGAGGGTTGATATTTAGGAAAATAACATACAGAAAGAAGGCCAATTCCATTTTTATAAAACCTAAAAATATCAAAAAATGGAGACAAATGCCAGAACCAAAACACAATGTTGAGCAGATTATTCCTTTTGATCCCAGGAGAAAAAATGGGAATGTTCCTGGTGGTATAATGTACAATCATCCTTTAAAAAGAGCCCAAGCTATTGGATCTCTTCAACGTTCTCTACAAGTTAAGCAGCTTACAGGAATTGCATTCCTCCTGTTTAAGGCTAATAATGCATTCTCCACAAGCCTGGCTCTAAATGCATGAAGACATAAGCAGCACGTAAAATAGAAAGATGAAGTACTCTGTCCTGTAGAAATGAATTTTTAAGTGAGCAGTGTAATGTCCAATAAATGTTTAACTGCACATTCTGTAAAGAAATATAATTAAGACCAACAAAAGGATGGCTCTTATGGGTTTCCCTGAAATCCCGATTAAAAAAGAGAAATGAGTAGACTTGAAACTTGTAGGTAGACAGCAGAATTCTCTTTATTTCTATCTTCAAATGCTTGAATGGACTCCTACCTTCTAAAAGGATTAAACTGAATAATATTCTTTGTTTTTGCAAAGTAACTAAATAGGACAATAGGCTTTTCAACCATTTATATAAACTAGTAAGTGTACATGTGCTTCGCACGTGACTATTTTAGATTATGATAATTATAGTAATAATATATCCAAAATTTTCTATAAACTTTGTGTTTTTTATTTTTTGTTTTTTATTATTAATCATATACATATTGCAAAATCCAAATCTAACTATGAAGTTTCAAGTATCATTGACAGGCCTACCTGCTTGGCTAGATTCTTCTTTTTGTAGTGTTTTATCTTTTTGGTGTACCTTTTTTCTTTTGTTCATTTACCAAAAAAATGTAAGATTTAAATAGAGGGAATTGAATGGGATGAAAAGTATTAGTTCAATTTTCAATTTAAACCTTACAATTAAATAGGGACTAAATTAAAAAATGAGTATTTTAGTAACTGTTTTAAAAACCGGACTAGACTAGATGGTCAAACCATTTGGCACGGGAACTGCTCAGGTCATCGGTTCTGTTTTGGCTCCAAACTGTTATTTTACAAAAAGCCGTTGAAATGGTTAGAGAGCAAGGATGGTTTAACCATTAAAATGTTCAACCTGATAAACGGTTCTCGGGTTGCTTTCAAACTAATTCCAAATTTTTATTTATTTTAAAATAAAAATTAGAAAATAAAAAATGAAAAAAGAATCTTTCATATCTCATAATCTTGTTTGGTTATTCCCAATGGCCAAAATAGTTAGGATTTTTAGTTTTTCTATTTTGATTTTGAGTTTTATCACTTTTGTGATTCTTTTCAAGTTGTAACAATATAAAAGTTGTAACTCCAATGAAGAAATTGAAAAACCGATGCAAGAGATGAGTGATTAAACACCGATCTTATATTAGAAATCTGAGATACACCAATGAAGCAAACAATTTGGGATCTGAGAGAAATTTAGAGAGATGTAAGAAGAGGGCAAATAGTTTGCACTTCCTCCTCCTCTTCTTCTTCTTCTTCTCAGGGCAAATAGTTCTGCAACAAGACATGATGAACATGGTGACAACCACCTCCAATGATGCTTCCTTCCCTTCTTCTTTCTCACTTTTCAGCTTTAACCAACCGCCTCCTTCTCAAAATCACACACTCCCCTCTCATAATAATGTATATATACGGTGGACTTTAACCTAATTCTAATCTAATGGTCAAAATAAAATGTTACATTATATTTTGCACCTTACTGGTTTGACCCTCTCAAACTGGACGATTGAACCATTGACCCAGAAATTGGAAGTCAAAGCGGTTCTGTTTCCGGGTCGGTTTTTAAAACCTTGATTTTAGTCAAAAGAAGGTTCCACAATCTTATTCATATTTTTAATAGTGGTGCAAATATAGAATTATAGATGTGTTCAATTTTTCTATAATATTTTTAATATTTTTGTGTGTAAAAATAATTCTGATATGTCACACTTACTTTTTGTTTAATATGATAAATATAAGATACTATACATGTGCCTATATGTTTTTTTTTTGCAAAATTTATGTATTTTTCATTTTGTATTTTTATATTTGATTAATTTTTATTATTTATTTATGACATTAAAGGTTAACACATTTAACCAAAAAGTTGAACTATTTATTGTTAATTTTTATATTCATTTTTGGTCACTTCTAAATTATGTATTTCATTTTCATTATCAATAAAAATAATTCTTGTTTATTACACTTATTTTTTTTTAATTTGATTAATAAAAATATCATAAATGTGTCTATTTTTCTACATTTTTTTGTAATTTTCTAGATTTATTTCTATTTTAAAAATTTTATTACCTAACTATTACTTCATAGGTTGATCAATTTGATTCAGATGGTTGAATTGCTTAACCACCACTTGGATAAAGAATGGTTTTGATGTTAGGTTGGTTTTAAAATATATGGGTTTATATTGTTAAAAATATTGACATAGATATAATTAGTAGCATTTATTAGTGAAAAATAACTTAAAAATATAGGATTTAATAAGAGAGAATGGGATTTGATATGTTAAGTATAAGACATAATGAAAGGGGACTAAATGATATGGAAAGTAATAATTGAAGTTACATTTTCAACCCTTACAATTAGAGATGGATTAAATACACAAATATGACCATTTTAGTAGCCATTAAAGCTATAATAAAATGACTTTTAAACCTTTTCTCAAACAAAGAAATAGAGGATAATTTTAGTCCAAAAAAGTTTCACACTGCATGATTTAATGTGAATTAGTGAATTCCCACGTGATTTAATGTGAGGACTTGGTAGGTCTCACACCACACAAGGATCAGATCAAGTTGACTAGTTAATGGTGTGAACAGAAACAACTTGAGAGTTTGATGCAATTACAATAAGGCTAGTTTGCTTAGTCCCATGCCTAGTTTGACTAGGAAATAGGATAGTTGCATAGTTTGGGTTGAATTGGAAAGGGTTTGGTTTTTCAATTGATTCTAATAGAATTAGAATTGTTTCCAATTAGAAACTTCTAGTTCAGTTAAAGTCGGATTTTGGAAACTCCTTGTAGGACTCCAAGAGTCCAGCTCTATATATAATAGAGAATAGGAGAGTTGTGAGAGAGATTATCACCAAACTTTCTACCACCATACCCTAGTCCAACCAAAGCTGAAAGGAGAGCCATTTCCCTCTTTTCCCACTGAATTTTCCAGTAAAACACATAGTTCTCAAGTGATTAACAGCTGCATCAATAGCAGATAGAGAGTGTACAATGATTCACACAAAAGGACTAGATCAAGTTCTTGCAATTGGGGTTGTGCCATCTTCAGCTTGGTTTTTGGGTGTGAATCACCATTTTGGGAACTACAATTGTGGTATCCACATCAGGTAACATTCCTACTTTGATCTGGACATCAAATTTTGATTGATCAATCCTAGGAGAAATTGTTTCTCCATGGAAATTTCAATTTCTCCTTTTGGACCAATTCAAGATTTTCCTTTTGCACCAAATAACCTATCAAGGTTTGGCCTTTTTGGGCTTAAATCAGTCCACATAATATTATGCTCTAGTTTAATTTTAGAAAAGCAGAAGAAATCTAATGAATGCTTCTGAAGGGGAGCAACCGATTGATTTAGCTGCTAAGGGGGGCAGTTCTCGAGTGAAGAATCCAAGAAAGTTGATGATAAGGACATACTTTGGTGTACTCATTGCCAAAGGTCTAGACAATACCTAAGATACTTGTTGGGAACTTACCGAAAAGACCAAGTGGGCTACCAAGAATCAAGACATCTCCAAGAAAACTACTCAGAAGAGGTATAATTCTACAAATCTGGCTATGTAAGAATCTTAGGCAAATAGCAAGACCTCTAGTTCCTCTCAAGAGCGCTCCCTTGGCTTTGACACTAGGGAAGACACTATGAACTCCTTTTGTGATCACCTGGAGATATATGGTAGGACCCTTCGGCAAATGGATAATTCACTTCCTACTCCTACCTCATTTGTGTTACATCAGGTAAAAGTGGTTTTGCATTTCATGTCTACCTTAGTTCTTGATATCCCTTGGATCATTAACTTAGGGGCTTCTAACCATATGACCGGTATGTCTGATCTGATTTTGTTTCAATTTTACACTCTTCTCTCTAGTAGGGATAAAGTGGACTGGCTAATGGATCCTTCTCCGCCATTTTTGGTCAGGGATCTGTATCCCTTCCCCATGGACTACTTAATGCTCTGTATCCCTTCCCCAAAATGACCAAGTGACATCAATAAGCCAAAAGATCCAAAATATTGTCCTTATCATAGAATGTTCACATCCCATAAAAGTGTTCTTTCTCCACAAAGATATCATCCAAGCATGATAAATAAAAGGGAAATTGAAATAGCAGAGCCTCCTACAAAAGAGACAACTATAAACATTATATCTCTTGTATAAGAAGAAAGTCCAACTATCCCCTCATTATATAAATTGATTAGGAACTGAGCATTTTGTATTTTGATGATTCCTCTACATCGGAAGATGAAGGATGTTGGAAGACTGTTGTCAACAAAAAGACAAAAGGGATAGTCAAACCTCTAAAAATGGAATTTCTCCTCCAGTAGCTATAGCTCATACGGTGTCTCAAGCTATATGGTTAAGTTCATTTCTTGAGGAGTTGAAGATAGTAGTATAGAAGCCATAATGCTCTTCTGTGATAATCAAGCTGCAATCAATATTGCCTACAACCTAGTGCAATATGACAAGACAAAGCATATGGAAGTTGATTGACACTTTATAAGGGAGAAAGTTTTAGTAGGAGATATGTGCCCTCCATTTGTTAAGGATGATCAGAAATTTGCAGACATCCTTACAAAAGGAGTTCAAAAGTTTTCATTGCAGAATGCACTTGGCAAGCTTGGCATGATTGACAATATATGCTCAACTTGGGTTGTCTCTTGTTATTGGGCATTCTTTATCACTTACCTGTTTATAGACTGATTGTGTAAAATAGGCTTATTGGGCCTTACTTTATTTCTTTTATATTGCTGCTGCCTACGAGAGGCAGTATTGCCATTCCAKTCTTTATTATAATCAGTTTGTATAAAGCATGACGTGACTGCAGTTAAGCTCCACATTTAGTTCATCCTTAAACATTTTCTTTTCTGTTTCTTCTTCTTTCTTCATATTTCTTCTTATCTGTTCTGATTAGTTTTGTCCTTATATTTTGCACTTTGTCTGTTCAAGAATTATTGCTGCCTTTCCAACTAAAAATAAGAAAGGAAAAAAATGACCTTATACAAGCATATAATGACAGATCTGTCTAATTAAAGAAACTTCCAATAATACCCTTACAACTTATATTCTAACACTTATAAAAAATCACTACTGCACTATGAACCAACACCATCTGAACATCTCAGCTCAGCACAAGGAAAGCCCATAGATCTTCATAGCATGGTTGAACCAGACAGAATAATTCTTGGTCCCACAACCAAAGAAAATGATAAAATAAAGAGGTTTTCTATGTGATAGATCAGCACAGGGTGTTTTATCCTTGTTTTTTTTTGTGTGTGTGTAAGAACAAACAGAAGAAAGCACAAAGGATTTAATAAGCAAATAGATCTATGACAGATAGTCTGTTTTAATACCATGTTCTCTGTCATCAATTAATAGCTGCGATTGTAAGAGAGAAGAGAAACCAGGAAAAGAACTCATCAGTTTGGGAGAAATTACATGAGTGAATCAGTGTCCATACCTTAACTCCTGTTAGTACAGGGAGACCTCCCAGTGGTTTCTTTCGCTTCAATCTTCAAGATAATTTTTTGCACTATGAAAAGCATCCACAAACTTATTACCCAATATTAGCCTCTCCCTTTACTAAATCAGTTCCATCTTTACCAGCAACACTACTAACAGCTTTACTGTTGCTCTTCTTCTGCTTGTCTTTGTTCAAAGAGGGGCTATCTGTGGCAGAACTAACTAATCTCTTGAGAACCTTTTCCTCAGGGACCAAGCCAACCTGTGCAGAAGTATTTCTCTTGGAAGGGTTCGTCACCTTTAGAGGGGCGCCCTTTTCCTGGGGCTGCTGTATGCCATCTTCTATCAGTGTACTCTTTGCTGTCCCACCAATTTTTTTGGTTGTAGCCTTATCAGGAGAAGTTTGTGAAGATACATTTTCCTTGGTAGGGCCACTTGTTCGCTGTTTACCGCTGGGTTTCTCTGGATTTGGATCAGGAAGTAGTGCACGACGGCTCAGGCGAAGCTGTCCCTTTTCATTAATCTGATAACATGATCACAACTATGAGAAAGAAGCTTGTAGTCTGGGAATGCAAATGCAGGGACAATAAAAGACTATTAAAAGGGGAAAGCCAATTGTTTATGAAACCTATAATGATAATAACACATGTAACACATGAATTAGTTAAATGATTAGGCCAACCTGACCACTCAACTATGATGATAAATAAACTTATTTCTATATAATGTTGTACTATTGGACTTTATTTTATTTATTTATTTATTTTTGTAGTAGGGAGGACCTGAATTTGGAGTTCTGAAAGAGCAAGAGATTAGGTTGTGTTTTGATTAGCAGATGTCCACAAATTACTGATTTATGCTATACAGAGCAGAATACAGAAAAAATCAGTGCCCTCTTCCCATCCATTCTGTTTTTGCCATGATCCAAATACAGCCTTAACTACACCATAGACATGACACCATACAGAAAGTTCAGGACCCACCACTATATTTGTGGTAGCTAGGTTATACTTCCAGGCAAAACTAGATTGGTGGGATCATCCAATCAAGTCCAGTTCTAACCTTATAAAGTTTAACCCCTGAATTATTGTCTTAGGCTTCTGTCCCCATCCACAAAAGCTCTCAAATGAATAAGGTAGAACTATAGAAGCAACAAATCTGACTAGGTTTTCCTAACCTCTATAAGTTTGACATCCATGCGATCTCCAACTTTAAAAGCCTGCAAATGACATAAAAATGCAAAATTACTCCACCATGATCTTCATACGACTTTAATGGAAGAGAAAGAATGGAGACTTACATCTTCAGCTTTTGCCAGCCAATCGTAACTTAGCTCACTAATGTGACAGAGTCCCTGTAGATCACTAGGATTGTTATACCTTGACAGGAAAGCTAAAACCAGAAACCAACAGAATACACAGTTACACACACATTGTGCACACACATGTAAACACATAAACACAAAAGGACTTTGTAGAACTTAAATCATAAATATGAGCCTCTGTAGTGTAATAAGATTGTGATGGCTAACAAATTAACAATGTCACAGAAAGAACCATAGGAAAAGATCAATGTATGCTGCGTTTGGTTGCAGTTCAATTTTATATGCACTAGTACAAATGCATGGGAGTGCAAATGAAAGAATGCAGAGTCTGGTTTAATTTTGTTTGGGGTATTATCTATTCTGCTTCAGGTCTTATTTTGCTTCATTGTACTGCAATGAAACAAAATAAGGTAAAATTTGAAACAAAAATAAATCAGAATTTGCATCCAAATCATTTGCACTACCATAGTTTTGCATCAGTGAAAATAAATTTGCACTGCAACCAAATGCAGCTGTAGTATCAATACAGGGAGAAATAGAAAGAGCCAGACAGGCACATGCATGTAAATTCATGTGAGCAGGACACATACACACATGCATAAGCACACAAACAGATTAAATGCTATCAGTCAAGTAGAACAGCACAACTTGTTTAAACCTCCAAGGAAATAAAACGTTACCTCAATGATTGTAACATTCAGGAAAAGCACTGATTTAGAAATGAATTATCTAGAAATAGGAATCAAGGTTTCCTTGATTGTATCAAAAGTATAGAAGTGATGCAAAGTGCAAACAAATAGCAAACAAGGTTGATGTATAAACAGATTCATGCTTAAGCCATTAGAGGATGAAACACATACCTCACGCCCAGGTGCTATCTCAACAAAGACTCCATAGGGTGCTATTGATTTGATCTCGCAGTTCCTGCTTAAAAATATTAAAGAGTTAAAACAGAATTCTAGATATTGTAATATCACTATGCTACCAATACACTAAAAAACTGAACAGCTCTCTGACCAATGAAATGCCAAATTAAGATATAATGGTCAAGTTCTATGTAGTAAGGAATGATTTGAGATGCTTTTTTTTTAATACCTCTAGCAAATGAGTATTACTTGGTTTTCTATTTTTTGGATTTTGATGTTGTTGATCTCCATTTGTATCATGTTGGAGATGAAGAAGCTGAAGTTGACAACACCATATCTTGCTAGAAACTATAACTTGATGCCGAATATTTGATTAGATTGAAAGGGGGTACATGAACTGGTTTTGTTTTTTTGTTTTTCTTTTATAATTTCAATCGCTGGTGTGTCCATGTTTCATTCAGGGGTTGCAAGGGAATTCTGCAACCAAATTTGCAGCAGATGTGCTCTCAAAAGAATAGAACAGAAAAATAATCTATCTGCTGTTACTGTCTTGTCAATTTATAATAAAGGGTCATTTACTGAAGCACTTCCTATAGTAAATGACATGCCAAAAATACTCCTACCCACCCATATATAAAGAAATCACTATATCAGCAAAAAAAAAAAAAAAAATCTAAGTAGTTGCCATAATCAGAAATACATAATAATAGTCACAGCTGTAAACTGGTATCTCATCAAATATCCATTCTCAGCTTAAGGGGGAGTACTAGAATATTAGAAGGGCAACTTATATGCTTGCCTAATTAAGTGCACTTCAGTTTTTTCTACATATTAATATAAAAGGGATGGATTTCATCATTTGGAAAATCAAAAACTAATAAACAATTCTCTTCTTCACACAAAACTTATTCTTTCTCCTCTTCTTTTACTTCCATTTTCTTCTTTTTTTTTTCTTCATTTTGACAATAAACCACAAGTGGCACCATGGGCTGAATGTAAAAACAGTGTACAGCCATGGACAAGATTGTTGAGATGGATATATCTATTTCATCCTTACAGAATGATGACCAGAAGTAGGCTTTTGGGCAAACATTTCTTTCCTACAAAACAGTATGGTTGAAAAAAAAATACCTATAAATATCACCAATTGTAGGAACCATCGTCAAATTAGCAATGATGGCTTTAGATTTCTCTAAACTTGAAAGGTCCTTTGCAGTAATTTTAACCTGTCAAAGCCATAGTAACATAAATAAAATAATGAAATGAAATATCAACTAGGAGGAAGAAAATATCAACTCTAGGTCCAATGCTTACTATTCCATCATCCTGTGTATCAATAGCTTCTACCCCAGTCTCTTCAATGATACTTTTGACCTTCTTCCCCCCAGAACCAATAATAATGTTAACTTTCTCTGGCTTGACCTACAAAAATAAACATAACAATGTAATATGGGAATAGAAAAATTCTGCATTTATGACTTTTAACCACTGTAGCAATGAGTTATTCAGCATGTAAACTGACCTTCATAATATGAATCAATGGAGCATACTTGGAGAGCTTCATTGAAGGAGGAGGTGAGCACTTCAACATTTCATCTGAATAAAGAAACACAAAGCCATTTGATCCTTGAACTAACAAATATTGAATGCAAAATTAAAAATATTATAAACAATTATAATCAATCCTCAGTAATTACTAAAGTTCATTTGATCCAGGGAATAGATCAATGCAAGTAATTAAGACTTTTAAAAAGATCACTTAGGTATAAATGGTTATAACATGTAATTAAGGTCAACTAAGTGGTTCTTCCTGGATGTGTGCACCTTCTTCGAAGTTCAATCATATTGTGGAATAATAATTTTCATTTGAATCTTGAAAAACTCTGACATTTCTGGTTCAGAAGCAATGCAAATGCTTTTCATCAATCCTTGACCAAATCTCAGAAGGCTAAGAGAAACATGAAGGATAAGACTGTTCATGTAAATGATGTAAAAGCTTAAAAATTGTGTAAGTGACCCTCCAAATATCATGCTGACCAGATTAAAGTAGGTTATTTTGGTTAGTGAAGCAGTGAAGATTTTTTTATTGATGCCTCAAGTTTTATCTAACAGTCCTAGTACTTTCACGCATTTGATAAATCAAGTTCTGAAACTATTCATTGGGAGGTTTGTAGTTGTATATTTTGATGACATTATAATATGAAACCCTTTAGGAGGCCCATACAGCACATAAAGGAAGTTGTAGAGATTCCACACCAAGAGCAACTCTACACAGACCAGAAAAAGTGCCATTTTCTAATAGACTAGAAACTGTTTTGGGGATTCCTAAGTCTATTGCCTATGATAGAGATTACAAGTTTCTTTCCCATTTTTGGCATATTTTGTGGAAGAAGTTTGGGACTACATTGCAATTTAATATTTATCACCATCTCAAATAATGGACAAAAGTGATAAACAGGAGTATGGGAAACCTTTTTTAATGTTTAGAAGAAGAGCATTTAAAGCAACGAGTGGTTGTTATTGCTTAAGCTGAATTTTCTTTTGATTACTCAAGGAATTGTACTGTGGAGGCCATTTATGGAAGGTAGCACGCAGAACTTTAAGATTTGCTTCCATTTTCCTAATCTGTAAAAAAAGTATTTTTTTTGATAAATCTGTAAAAAAAGTATTTTTTTGATAAATCTGTAAAAAAAGTATATTAAAGAAAAGAATATAGCGGATCAGATGTCCAAACTTCATGAGGGCATCCATTTGAAGATCAAGGAGTCTAATGTCAAGTATAGAACCTATTCCAATAAGATAAGGAGGTTGCAAACCTTAAATTAAGGTGATTTGGCATTAATGTACTTATGTAAGGAAAGATTTCAGTAAGAACCTATTCTAAGCTTAGGAGGAAGGTCAGGCCTTTCAACACTTTTAAGAAGATGAATGATAACACCTATGAAGTCAACTTGCTGATTGATTTGGGCATTGATTCTACTTTTAGTATTATTGATCTCTATTCTATACATTGTAAGGATGGTGGATTCGAGGACAGCTACAAAAGCTTACCAAGAACATGCTTCCGTCCATCTTTTGCTTGAAGAAGAGCTTCTTTCATGATGGGTAACGTAATTCCTCCAACCTGTCATAAGGGATGTCAACAACCACAATAACACATAAATACATGCATAGAAAAAAGGTTCCCTAACTGGGACATGTATGGAGAATCCTTATACAACATACTCTATTCTAAGCCACATGGAGGAGTCCTATAATCATCCCTGACTGTTTTAAAAGATAGGGTACCCTCTACATTAGCCACTTGTTGAATCCCACAGTCCATATCAACCCTACTGCAACAATGTATTGGAGCTTTTCTTGATAACATTTCAGTTTCCTAATTTAGAAATTGTCATAAACCCCACACTAATTGGACCAAGATTTTCTTTTTCATGAATATGGGCTCAAAAGTGAATAACAGGCAGTCCTCCTAAACCCCAAACTAATTGCACATGGTATATTTATGGATGATGGTTTGACAAATGTCCAACAGGAGTGATACATCTATGGCCCATTTTTTTCTCTTATCACTATAATTGCACATGATAAAAAACATATACTGATATTAATTTTTTAGGGTCATGAGAATGATTTCATATGAGCCAATCAGAACATCCCCAACCATGAAGATGTAATTGATAATGATACTGTTAAAAAAAAACACTTAAAGAAGGGATCAAATCTTAGCACTGAATATTTGTGGATGTTGCTTCTTGATGGCATGTTGGGTGCTAGGTCTATTTATTGTTTGTGTTATTTTAATTATTAAGTTTAACTTATTTGAAGATTATAATGATATATGATAACTGCTTGGTTCAAATGTTAAGACATTGTTGTTATGTGATCAATATTGTCACTTATAAAATTTGTCCATAGGATCAGGATCAATCAAGCATCACAATATAAAGTACTTCCTGAATAATTTTGGCCTAGATAAGCATATCATAAATGACCTTTATGTCCATCTGAAATGCAGTTATACCATTCCCATTTCCAGCAACCTGCACCATTAAAAGTGTAGTTTAAAACTAAGATATCTATTTAAGTTCTATCATCAAATCTATGCTAATAGTGAGAATAGAAAAAATGAAGTACCCCTCTACTGCCAAACCTTAAAATCCATATCACCAGAAGCATCTTCAGATCCAGTAATGTCAGAGAGAATAAGTGGTGATCCATCTCCTCCAAATTCTTTTGTGTCCAAAACCATACCCATTGCAATCCCAGCAACAGAGCACTTCACAGGAACCCCAGCATCTTGCAAAGCTAAGCAGCCCCCACAAACAGATGCCATACTGTTCTAGTTCATAAAACTTAATTGTTAACTAAAATATAGCTATAATTCATCAAAAAAAAAACTAAAATATAGCTATACAAAAATGACCTGGCACAGTTGAGAAAAGGGAAGAAGGGAATTGTCCCTGTACAGGCTGTACTAATGAATGAAAATGTTTGAAAAAGATCGTGTACTTTGGATTACACTCAAATATAATCATATAATACAAATCGAGAAATTTCACCTTGAAGAACCATTGCTTTCAGTGATGGTACTTTCAACACGTACAGTGTAAGGAAAATCCTCTTCAGAAGGCAAAATGGGTTCAAGTGCTCTTTCTGCAAGCATTCCATGACCAATTTCTCTTCTACTGGGTGCTCCCATGCGCCCAACTTCTCCAACACATGATGGTGGAAAGGAATACTGAACAATTAAATCAAAGAATCCTTTTAATAATTAGATTTTGCTTAAAATTTTAAAGTAAACAATTTAGATTCAAATTTTCAAAAACAAATTAATCAGAAAATTGAAACAACCATATTTCTTTTTGCAGAAAAAGAACTTTCCAACAATAATGCAGGGGTTGTTTGATAATGGCTGAAATGGATGAACTGAATGACTTAATTCTTTGTCTTTTAGTACACAAAATAACTAAACAATGAAATATTCAGTCCTCCACGCACTGATAAAACTTCAACTAGTTGACTTGGCTTCCAATGCAGAGTTGCCCACTTTACAGTATTGTCTTCAACAACAAAAAGCACAGGAATTAACCTACAGGAAATGCCTCCAACAATACCAATGGATTCCTAATCTTACCAACATTTTCAATCTCTGTGAAAGGTTTGGCTGTTTGTGAGGCTCCTGTGAATGATACATTACCCCATTCAGTTTCTTGATTGTACTTTAGGCTAAAAGAATATTAGTTGCAAATACTCTTTTACTCCTCACCCACAGTAATGTGTCAAGTGCAGGAAGCCTGCAAACAGCCCAGGCTGTTTTTTTTTTTTTTTTTTCCAAACAACCAAGCTTTTTGATCAATCTCCAAATATATAAGAAAGTCACTTCCTAACTAAGACTCACTCAGCAATATGGGACAGTCAACTACATATGCAGGGTCACCAAAGCTGATGGCAACAGAGCACACCATGATGAAATGAACACCATGATCTCTAAAAGCTCCACTGGCCTACATATGTAGCACCCATAAAAATTCAGGTTAGCAATTCTATGAAAGCACAAACCTAATCTTACACAATAACCTATCTGAGAATCGAGGTGCTATCCTCAGTCTAACCAGGAGCTGATAGTCTATAATTTCAAAGTTCAAATAACCATGTTGATAAGCTTAATCAACAAATCCTAAAGTTAATATTTCTAGTTTCACAAATCCCAACTATTTCATTTGGGAGTTTGGACAAAGCAACTAAAGGACAAGAAAAATGGTAAAATTATCAATTTAATTTAAAGCATCAAGAACATTTGTAAAAACCAGAAAACAAAAATATTAGAAAGGAAAAAATGACAACATCTTATATGATAGAGCCTGAAGCTACATCTTTCTTTCACATAAATAAGTAACTATATCTGTTTACCACTGAGAAAAAAGTTTACAATAATCTCTTACTAAACTCATACTTCCAAACTATAGAGTGCACCTGAAGGTAGAATCTCTTCAATTCATCTACATCTACGAGGTTGTCTATCCTCTGAGCCATTTGTCTGTCGCCAAGAGTAACCACTGCAAGTGACTGTAAAACATGAAAAGATTAAACAATTACTAACAAGTAATATCAAATATCATTACCAATGCATAGTTCATAATTTAGCAGCGTATAACAAAAGAAACCCAGGGGTTGTTTGTGTAAAGAGTTTATCTCTTGAATTTTACTGGTTGATTGTGCTTGGTCTCATTGTAATATAATAGGTTGTATATATAGAGAATCGTGTAAGTTTGTTATGTCCAAATAATCAGGGTCAATTATGTAATTGTAAATATGTTGCACTATTCAAGTGGTGGGAACATTCATTCAAATACACCCCTTCATCTTTTACCCCTCCACTCAAGCTTGATATAATGGAAATTGACATGGTATCCCAGCCATGGAAATCTGATCTTTTGTATGAATCACAAGGGCCAAGATTGTCCACTGCTAGCTCGAGTTCTGTCAGGTTGTGTGTTTCCTAGCAGTCAATCAATTCAAGTGGTGTCTTCAAATCAAAGTGTTGTGGAAAGGCATTGAATGAAGATTCAACCAAAGGTATTTTGGTGAGAATATTAGTCATTTTATGGAATTTTCTGAAGGTTTTTAGTGCTGAAAACCTGAATATTCAGGTAGGGTTGAAATTGAAATTAAACAAGGACAGTTCCAATCTTCCATGTTTGTTCTCTTTGAATCAGCAGTGTTTGGGCATGGAATATGGATTCGTTGTCATTTGAGTGCTTTTGGACTGTTGGGAGGCCTGCTTGATTATCCCTTTGAAAGGAGGTGTATTAGGGCTCCTTTGAGGGTACTTTCTGGAGGCAAGAACCCCTGTTTCAACCTAGGATTATGTCCTCCAGTTGGATAACTTCTCTTTTGCCCTTGTTTGATTTTGAAACATAAAATCAGCTTTTCTAGGAGTTCTGATCTCCTATGTTTGGATCTATCAGTGTTTGGTGGTGCACTGGATATTTCCCTGTAACAGGAAAAGCTCTGATGGTTGCAGATTAGTCTAAATTGATTGCTGTTCGATCCAAAGGGACAAGCTACAGTATGTAGTAACTTGAATTCTAGTTCAATGTGAAAAGAAAGGGACTTTGGGGGCAGCTTGATCAATCGAGAATCAACTTCAGCAGTTTCAATTGACACTACTATTGCATATCAACTTCAGCAGTTTCAATTGGCCAAGGCTATGTGGGAATACTTTCAGGTTGGGATTTTGTCAAAATTTGAATGGGCTTGTCCCAGAAACCCAAGCCAGTTCAGTGTTAAATCTTCAAATAGAGTACCTTGACTTGCACCCCTATTGTTAGCACATAGTGGCTGTAAGTACATGGACATTGTGCTGTAAACACACATAAGTATCCACAGTGCACCAATGTCAAAGCACAAACCTAGGCCCCCATATTCAAACTGCACTGACAAATACCCAGACAGGCGTACAGCTAGAAGTCCCCTACAGCGCAGTTCCACATGAATACCTAAGACACGATATACAATCACACTTGCGATGAGACATGCTGAATCACAGTGGCAGCACAAAACCAAGTTCACCGATGTTCTATGAACCAGTGCTTCAGTGTAGTAGCCCTCCATGTTGCGATGACCCTTCGCCAGAAGCTCTGCAGCGGAGCAGCATAACACAAGCATACAACCTTTTATCTGGGCACTGCAGCGCAACAATATGATATGCCAAAAGAATTGCAATGAATTGCCAGCGCATTAGCACTCCGAAAGAGAGACCAAAACAAGTCAGGAAGTTTCTAGAAGCGGGGATGTATTAGGGCTCCTTTGAGGGTACTTTCTGCAGGCAAGAACCCCTGTTTCAACCTAGGATTATGTCCTCCGGTTGGATAACTTCTCTTTTGCCCTTGTTTGGTTTTGAAACATAAGATCAGCTTTTCTAGGAGTTCTGATCTCCTATGTTTGGATCTATCAGTGTTTGGTGGTGCACTGGATATTCCCCTGTAACAGGAGAAGCTCTGATGGTTGCAGATTAGTCTAAATTGATTGCTGTTCGATCCAAAGGGACAAGCTACAGTATGTAGTAACTTGAATTCTAGTTCAATGTGAAAAGAAAGGGACTTTGGGGGCAGCTTGATCAATCGAGAATCAACTTCAGCAGTTTCAATTGACACTACTATTGCATATCAACTTCAGCAGTTTCAATTGGCCAAGGCTATGTGGGAATACTTTTGGGTTGGGATTTTGTCAAAATTTGAATGGGCTCGTCCCAGAAACCCAAGCCAGTTCAGTGTTAAATCTTCAAATAGGGTACCTCGACTTGCAACCCTATTGTTAGCACATAGTGGCTGTAAGTACATGGACATTGTGCTGTAAACACACATAAGTATCCACAGTGCACCAATGTCACAGCACAAACCTAGGCTCCCATATTCAAACTGCATGACAAATACCCAGACAGGCGTACAGCTAGAAGTCCCCTACAGCGCAGCTCCACATGAATACCTAAGACACGATATACAATCACACTTGCGATGAGACATGCTGACTCACAGTGGCAGCACAAAACCAAGTTCACTGATGTTCTATGAACCAGTGCTTCAGTGTAGTAGCCCTCCATGTTGCGATGACCCTTCACCAGAAGCGCTGCAGCGGAGCAGCATAAGACAAGCATACAACCTTTTAGCTGGGCACTGCAGCGTAACAATATGATATGCCAAAAGAATTGCAATGAATTGCCAGCACATTAACACTCCGAAAGAGACACCAAAACAAGTCAGAAAGTTTCTAGAGGTGGGGATGTAGCTAAACTCATTCTTATGTGCAGACTCCGAGGGAAAGAGTGGAATCTCTGATCCTGTTACCTCCATGTGGACACGTGGCAAAACCCTACTTGTGAATCGTCCACTCTAAAAATTAACGAATTAAAAAGACCTTCCTATATAGAAGAAAGACTCCTTTTGCACCACATAATTTCCTATTCCGTTAGGAAGTCTTCCTCTATAAATAGGGAAGACCCAACACCCTCTAAAAATAGAGAGAAGAGAAGAAGCACCCATTACATACATTATTGATCTCCTTGCACGACTTCTGTCGGACCATGATCTCAACCCTTTCTCCAATCCTCATTAAAACTTCCCTACAACTCCTTACAACCCTACCTTCTTACCTTCTCCTTCCTAAGATCATCCACCATCTTTCAGGAAAACCTACACTATTGCCTTATCTCCCCGTTCACGGTGCCATCTCAAACTTGAACCCGCATTCTCATGCTATCCAGCTCAAGATCTTGCAATTAGACCAAGAAATGGTGGTTGTGGAGAAGTGGCATCTGTTGTCAAATAGGGTATATGGTTATGGAGAACAGGAGAATTGTTGTCCAGTGTCTAATAGGGTCTGTATGGAGGAAGCTCATAATATAGTGGTGGGTCTGCCTTTCTACATTTGGTTGAGACCAATTTTCCAACAGATTGCAGCTCTATGTGGTAGAGTGCTTGAAGATGTAAACTTGAGACATTTACAGATGGTCACCTTGAAACTTGTTGAGATTGGGCTGATAGCATTTTTTTGTTCATAATGTTTAGTTAGAGTTATTGGGCCCAAGGCCCATTAGTTTATGTTTTGTTAGGCGAGTTTTTTATGTGCTTTTAGTAGTAGCCAACTTACTAAGGGTATAGAGAGAAAAATCTACACTCTAGTCGGTCAAGTTATATTTTTAGTTTTCTATATTAAAACAAATTGACTCTTGTGCTCCTACGTAAGTATGAGACACATCACTTAACATGACAYCTCATACTAAACATAAACAAAAAGACTAATTTGCCCCTATATAATTGACACTAACACTCCCCCCAAGCTGGTGAGTATATATCATATAATCCCAGCTTGTTACATATGTAGTCCACTCTTGCCCGACTTAACCCTTTGGTGAACAAATCTGCCCATTGGCTTCCTGTGTTAACATATGCTGTGCTTATCATTCCACTAAGAACCTTCTCTCTCATAAAGTGACCATAGTTTTAAAGGCGTCTAGGCGATTTTGGGCGACATTGGGGCACCTAGTTGCCTAGTCACCTAGGTGGGCGCCTAGGCATCGCCTAGGCAATAAATATTTTATAATATAAAAAAACTGACTTTTGGCTAGTTTCCCAGTTTTATATACCATTCAGCATGTATGTTAATTGAAAAATTAGCACCTCTCTTTATTAAGAACCTTAAACTTCCTCTAAAAATGCGGCAAATCATCACATCTAAAAGATAAAAATCTTTTACATATATTAATTTCATTATTTTCAAAAATAATACTACTATAATAAGTATTTAATAGAACAAATTCATATTAATTAGCAGCTAAAGAAGGTTATTAACTTTATATGATAAATATTCAAGATGGAAAGTAAAATAGAAAAAAAACAAGGATGGTGTTTCTGTTTTATTTAATTAGAGAGAGAGAGAATAGAAAAAAAGAACTTTATTATTCTATTTTTTCTTTCCTCTTTCTTTTCTTTCTTTCTTTTCTTCTTCTCAAAACCCTTTGATCTTTTAAATTTCAATGGTAAAACATTAAAACAAAGTATATATAACATATAATTAAATGTATTAACACATACATTAATAAAATACAACAATATAAATGATATTATAAAAGGCGCCTGCCTTGTCATTTTTGTTGCCTAGTTGCTATAAGTTAAGGGGTTTGGGCGAGGCGCCCAGCCAAGGGTGCCTAGTCACCTAGGCAACGCCTTGACAACTATGAAAGTGACAATCAATTTCTATGTGCTTTGTTCTTTCATGAAAAATTGGATTAGAGAGACATGGACTGCAGCTTGGTTGTCACAATAAAGCTTGGAGTGTCAATTGAGTACCCCATCTCCTGTAGAAGATTTCTCAACCACACTAGTTCACAAGTTATATATGCCATGTATTCATCTTCTGCACTGCTTCTTGCCACCACTATTTGTTTCTTACTCTTCCATGTCACCAAGTTACCCCCAAGAAAGGTACAATAACCTACAGTGGACCTTTTGTCAAATACAAAACCAGCCCAATCAGCATTAGTGTATCATTTCTATTTCAAGATTTCC